CCTACTTCTACTAGCTATAAGGCAGCATGTGTATTCTTCATAGTCTGGAATATATAATATGAGCTATACTGCTGTATAAATAATTCACATCGCCCCACTTTACTGTGGTGTACATTACCTACCATACACCACTTCACTGTGTAAAACACAGTGCTCTACTTTTTATATTCTGCTGTACGTTATACACTGCTTGGCCAAAAAAAAATTCACATGCTCTAATATTTTGTTGGACTGCATTTAGCTTTGATTATGCCAAGCATTCGCGGTGGCATCATTTCAGTAAGCTTATGCAATGTCACAACATTTATTTCCGTCCAGAGTTGCATTGATGTTTCACCAAGGTCTTGTAGTGATGATGGGAGAATCAGACCACTGTGTAACGTCTTCTTCAAACATCCCAAAGATTATCAATAGGTTTGAGGTCTACACTCTGTGGTGGCCAATCCATATGTAAAAATAATGTCTCATGCTCCCTGAACCACTCTTTTACAATTTGAGCCCAATAAATCCTGGCATATTCCAAACATCTTGGAATATGCCTTTGCCATCAGGAAAGAAAACAAATCCATATATCCATATCAGTATATTAAGGTAGGCAGCTGACCTCATTTTTGAGGACATAACATGTGAAACATATTAATCACTGCTGTAACTATCCAATGGAAGTTTCTCACCTATTTGCTTAGCTAAATCCAGGTGGTGATTTTTTTTTGGGCCTGACAGTGTATATAGAGAATTTAAGTAACCACAGAAATAAAATTTTGTAAATATGCTGTACTTTACAATTGATTCTTCTGCCCATTTACAGTGGTGGGGTGAGCTCTCAACATAATGTACACTTGCATTTTGCACTTTATGGCACACTTATGTGCCACTCTGCTGTTATGCAATGATGAAAGATCCAGGATCCTATTGCCACTTCATCCTGATTCTTCTTTCAGATCCCCTGATATTCCTCTTCAGCCTCTGGATGGCCACTGATGACGTAACTCCTGTGCATGCTCTGTGTAGTGTACACTGAAGACAAAAATCACTAGGAGCTGTGTAAAAAGACAGAGACTTTGTATGTCTCTTCTGCCGAAAACCGTTCCTCCTACTGGTTTTTTGTTGTAGGACTCAAGTTCTACTTTTATGAAAAAAATTTGGCTACTGCTCTGGGGAAATACATTTTTTTTCCTTAGAGTTTTATTTAATTGTTAATTATATACCTGTTAACTCTGGTTAGTGAACATTACCTGGCATGACATCAAGATTATTGCAGCAGTTCTGCTATACGATGGTGTGTCTTTTAGGATTGCTCCATTCTAATATTGTGACCTTTCTTCTCTGACATCTGACTGTAACCAGACACAAATACCTCTCCAGGTACTGTATCCTGTACATCAAACAGTTATGTGCTCTGTGCGATGGATGCCTGTTGCATTAGGGAACGGACACCATCCGTGCATAAGGTGGCCTTTACTCCAGCTGCATATGATGTTTTTATTTTAGTGCTGTGTGCTCAATCCTTTCAGGTTATTTACCGAGATATGAGATCATCTAATGTGTTGCAAACTAGAACATTCATTTCCTTTTATTTTAAGAGGATCTTACTAGCAAGAATCATCTCACGGATGTCTTCAGTATCCCATCATCCAAGTTTACTTAATAAGAGCAATTTGCAAGATGCAGTCACACATAACACTCAGAGTTTGTTTTACTGTGTACAGAAAGCTGAAATCTGGTGAATGTTAATGCATTTAGCTTGTCTTGCTTGCTGGTTTGCATTGTCTTAAAGCTAAACTCCAGATGGATATGATTTAACACTAATGAAAACAGTTATATCTTACTTTCTATTTTGTGGTACCTTAAAGATGAACCACTCAACCTAAATGGAAATGGGGCAGTATCAGGAACCATTCTGATATGCTGATAGAAGGAAAGAGCATTGTGAACAACCTTCACTGTCTAATCATAGGTTGTGGGCAAGGAGGTGACTATAAGCTTTATTTCTGAACTGAAGCAGATCTTGTAAGTCTTTGAGCTATGTCAGTCTCAGTACTGGATGAATGGAAATCTTTTGGCAGGTATAATAGCTCCCATGTACCGTATTTGCCGGCGTATAAGACGACCCCCTACTTTTTGTGTTTAAAATATAGGTTTTGGGCTATACTCGTCGTATAAGACGAGTATAGCCCAAAACAATGTTTAAATGCACTTACTAACCTCCTTGGCGGTATTCCCGAGTGTGGCTCGGGGTTAATTTTCAGTACCATAAGTGTTAACCCCGAGCCACACTCTGGATTACAGTCTCTTACCTTGTCCAGGATCCCCGCAGCGCTGAGCCAATCACAGCAGGCTTTGTATTCATTAATACAGGTTTTGTATTAATTAATACAAGGCCTGCCGTGATTGGCTCAGCGCGGTATACTGTATGTAGCCGAAGCTACATACAGTATACCCGGCGTATAAGACGACCCCCGATTTTCGGGCGATTTTTTTTGGTCTCAAAACCCGTCTTATACGCCGGCAAATACGGTATGTATTTTTACTGTGAATATAAGTGCTTGTCTGCAATTCACCTTTTAACCTATACAAACATTAAAATACTATAATATAATTTCTGAATACAGACTATCTGATGGGTCAGTGTTATAATAGTCATGGGATCTGTTCATGTTTCATAGTTTCTTAGTTTCCCCCTGTTAATATGACACACAATGATGTTTTCTGTGATATTAACTTTGACATAATGTTCATGTCTCTTAGGTCTTCGGAAAGTTATGGTCAGAGCACATCGGCAGGCATGGTGTTGGCAAGATGAATGGTATGGCTTATCCATAGAAGACATTAGACAACTGGAGAAGGAAACACAACTGATGCTGGCACAGAAAATGGCACAGTTCAGCTTAAGTGAAAATGAAGCAGAGCAGCATGGCTCCAAAGAATCTCCTGGAGAGAAGGATACAGAGACCAGGGTTATCACCTCTATTGAAACAGTAGATGAGCCAAGTGGCATTTCAGAGTCACGGACAGGAAGAGGCTTGACCAAGCAGTGGTCTACATCTTCCAGATCATCTAGGTCTTCAATGAGAGGAGGTATGAGCTGGGTTTTTTTTCAAATCACACTTCTGTTTATGGCATTGGTGAGCAGACGATAGGTATTAATATCAACCAACCAGATTCTCACATTCACCCAATTCTTCTGTCAGAATCTCTCTGTAAGTCTGTTGTACTGCTGTCAGGGATACCGGCACAGATGACCCCACACCTGCACAGGTACCCACGCAGGAGGACCAAATGCGTGACCACACAAGACAAGGCAAATTAGTTGATATATATTTTTAATATGCCAACCAAAATAATATAAACAGAAACAAGTAAGAGTAACTAACTACATCTAAACCAAACCACATGCACAAAGTAACAGACAAGTAAACCCAGGGAGCAAAGCAAAACACCAGGTGAACTAAGGGACAAAAGGTCAGGGTACAAGGAGGAAACAGGAATCAGGAACATAAGCAGGTCACAGCTCCGAACAACAAGCAGAGAACAGGGCTCAGGACAACAAGCAGAGAACAGGACTCAGGACAACAAGCAGGTATCAGGATTTGCAGGAAATGGAAACAGGTAACAGGACTCACAGGAAACAACAGGATACTGAGCCATCATCCTGACTGCAGGGAGGGTTTAAATACCCTCCCAGGAAGCACCAGGTGATGGCTAAGTGCCAGCAGTTGGGAGACACCTGCAGGTGAGCACTGGAGCTGCAGGTTCCAGCACCACCCAGTTGTGGTCTGGTACCTAACAGTTCCTAGCTGCCTGGAGATACCTGCAGGTGAGCACAGGAACTGCAGGGCTTAGCTCCAGCACCACCTGGAGGCACTCTGGATCCTAACAACTGCTTTATCTTTCTCTCCTGTTTTACTATTTTCACAATCCAGATCTCTGCATTTATCTATCTACGATGTGTTAAAAAATACACAAACCTCTTATTCTAATCCCTATTTTCTCTGTAATGTATTTTCATTTCACATTACTGCCGGTAGCACAGAATAAGTGGTATACATGTTGCTTCAATCAGTAATTAAATCTCCCAAGCGAAATTAAACAGTGTAAACAACCCAGTCATCATACATCAGTCGGATCGCCGTTAACATTGAAAGGGATACATAAATGCAAAATAATTCAAAGCAAAACTCTAACTTGGCTTTTACTGAAAATCCTCCTTGTGCAGACTAATCCATCTGCCTGGCTCATGACCTGAATTGTATAGGCTGCATCTGAAAGGTGAATTATGATTGAGAATTGGTATGCATGAGTGGAGAAGTAGAGCACATTACTTGCTCCCCGCTGCCTTTTTTTTTCTCCAACCAAAGCATAGTCTCTACAATTGCTGGAGCATATCAGCATGAGGTTTATGCAAATAACCAGGACAGCCCAACAGTAACCAGTTTGCTGCTGGCAGTAAGGAAAAATCACCATATTTTGGGGCCTTTTTACTTATATTATCAAGTAAGTATGTAAAAAATGCTGTATCAAATTATCTGTATTACAGGAGTATTTTGGTAGAGATTGTGGTTTGCCAATAATACAGTACTTTATAATACTAAACTTCTTGAAGAAAAAAAAAAAAAAGCAGACAGTGGACCCAGTCTTTCTCCACACTTTCTATCTGTTTGAGATTCTTACATTTACACTGCCACAACCGTTGCCAACAAAACCTACCTAAGCAACTGCTGTGTCTAAGAGAACTATGGTACAGCATTTATTAAGTTTAACACATATTTTGAAAAAAATGTGAATGTAAAAATCAATACAATATGAATTAAATACCCACCCAAACTTTCTTTCATTGACGGACACATAATTCTTTTCAGATGGAACTATGGAGCTGTTCTTGAACATGGCCCAGATTTTGTATAGTTTAAATGTAAAATTTACCCCTGCTTATGTGCTTCCCTATTTCTGTGGTATCAGGATCCATAATTTTAGATTTATTCTATAGTGCCACACTAAGTGAAAATTGTGTATTGCAGTCTGGCAGTTCAGCTATCATTTGTGTATGAGGAGGATGCAGAAGAGTAACACCTATCCTGGTTAGCACACAGAGTGACGAAGAAAGATGCAATTTTTATTTATCATGGAAAACTGTTTTAAGATAAATGTCTTCCAGATGCAACTCATCACAGGCAGGTCATCCTAGTCTGAAGCAACAACTATATCTTCCCATTAAGCTGCTACCAAAAAATTAAGCTTTGGAGCTGTCATCTGATGAAGCTCTACTATTAATAAACCACTATAAACACTCATTATATTTGCAAATATTTGAAGATGCTTGACTGTAGCCAGACAGAAGTGAATTATGACACTTGACCAATGTACCACGCTGCAGTTTCCAGTGTCATCTATGTACTGCACATGTATAGTCTAACTTAACATTGTTCCTTCAATGTTCTCCAGGCTTAGAGTTTGTTGCTCAGGCTTGATGTATTATTTAACAGATGATCCCATGCACATGCGGATAAGCTGCTGACCAGATTTTATTTAGCATGTATAGAAATTTTAGGATGGATTTCAATAGAATCATTATTGGGTGTGTCAAAAAGCTTCATTAAGGTGGCCATACACTTTACAACCCTCGCAAGACTTTTGTCTTGCGAGGGTTGTAAAGTACTTAAAAAACGTACGATCTGCCCATCTTGGACAGGCAGATCTGCAAACGGGCTGTGTGCGCGTGCGCACACCGGCCCGTTCGGCAGTTGTCGAACCAGCAGGCCACTAACTTGCCGAGAATCGTATGAATCCCAGCGAGTTTTCTAGCCTGCTGGTTCGACGGAAGACGTGCGACCGTACAGTAGAAACGGTTGCACGCCTTCCATACACTGCATGATTCTCGTACGATCGCGGGATTTCCCCACGATTCTCGTACGAGAATCGTGCAATGTATGGGCACCTTTAGGCATACTTTATTTAAAGCGACACAAAACTCTCAGCTTCTTTCTCCTTATACACATCTACACAATGAACATTCTCCAGAGCTACATTTATTCATGTTTTAAAATAAGGTCTTACTATTTTATTCCCTTTAGAAAGTCTGCTGTGCTCGCACCTGTTGCTTTTTTCTCCCCTCAAACTTCCTGTCCCTCAGTAAAGGTGGCCATACTGAGGGTTGTAAAGTGATTTAAAAAACGTACGATCTGCCCATCTTGGACAGGCAGATCGCACTCTCGATCATCGCAAGCCCGCCCCCCTGAGGGGCGGGCTTCCGATGACCGCACCGGCCACACCGGCCCGTCCGATGACCACACCGGCCCGTTCGGCAAGACTGTTAAGTTGGCCATACACTTGCGAGGGTTGTAAAGTACTTAAAAAAACGTACGATCTGCCCATCTTGGACAGGGCCCGCTTACGATGACTGCAAACGGGCAGTGTGCGCGTGTGCACACCGGCCCGTTCTGCAGTTGTTGAACAAGCAGGCCACTAACTCGCAGAGAATCGTACGGTTCCTGGCGTGTTTTCCAGCCTGCTTGTTCGACGGAAGACGTGCGACCGTACAGTAGAAACGGTCACACGCCTTCCATACACTTTGCGATTATCGTACGATTGCGGTATTTCCTGTGATTCTCATACGACAATCGTACAGTGTATGGGCACCTTTAGGTTGGGTTCACACCTAGGCACCTGAATAAAATTGTGCGTTTGTGAGCAGATTGTAGCTCATGATGATAATGAGCAAATGTGCATAAAACGAGCGTACCACCAACTATAGAGGACTACAAATCCCAGCAATACATTATAAAGCAATGCAGAATGGCACCAGCTATAGAGGACTACAAATCCCAGCAATACATTATAAAGCAATGCAGAATGGCACCAGCTATAGAGGACTACAAATCCCAGCAATACATTGTAAAGCACTGCATAATAATACCGTCAGCCATAGAGGACTACAAATCCCAGCAATACATTGTAAAGCACTGCTGAATAATACTATCAGCTATAGAGGACTACAAATCCCAGCAATACTTTATACAGCAATGTAGAATAATATGAAGCTACATACTCTGTGTTGCTCCGGGTTCGCGGCCTAATGTCTCCGGGGGCCCACGAGTGGTCAGTGTGGGCTCTCGGGTGGTCAGTGCAGGCTCTTCGGTGGTCAGTGCCGACTCCAGGTGGTGAGCATGGCCTCCGGGTGGTCAGTATGGGCTCCGGGTGGTCAGTGTGAGCTCTCAGGTGGTCAGTGTGAGCTCTCAGGTGGTCAGTGTGGGCTCCAGGTGGTCAGTGCAGGCTCCAGGAGGTTAGTGAGCTCTCTCATGTGGTCAGTGCAGGCTCCAGGGGGTCAGTATGGGCCCTCAGGCGGTCACTGCGGGCTCCAGGAGGTCAGTGAGACTGGAGGCTGGGGCTGCAGCAGATAAGAATTATGACAAGACATTCATCGCACCCCAATGATCACAGCTCAGTGCAGAGTCTGGAGGGGAGGATTTGTGGGTGGAGACTGGGAGGATTCTACAGAGGAGATTTGAGAGAGTTTCATAGTTCTCATGTCTGACTGTAGTCCTTCACATGAACAAGCACATAGAGAAGAAAAGTAGCCACCCTCTGGCAGGAAGTTGTGGCTGGAGAAAAAATAAATAGGATTTTGGAGTATTTAGAGCTAAACAATGATAAAAAAGGTACACAGTCATTGAGTATTTATATAATAGAAGTTATTTATATGGTTTAATTTTTGTGCTTAGTGTCGCTTTAACTTAAATTGTTGCCAGTTTAGTCTAGATTTATGTGAAAAATGCAGTCAGTGATTCTTATTTCTGGAATTGCTTGCTGTCTAATATTCACTATTATTAGCTTGTGTCCTTGCAGTTATTCCCACACTGCTTCAAACTCTAGTAAGAGCAGTAGTGCTGTAGCTTGAGATGTTGATGGTGAGATATCCCCTAGTTTGGTACCACAGAAATTGAAAGGAATGTGGTTGCCAGGAGACAGCATAGGTCCATAGGTTAAAGTCAACAGGTTAAAGTGTACTTAAGTTAAGTTTTGGAGAGAGTAGGGAAGGGGTAAAACCCAGCCAGATTATTTTTTTGCTGTCTGCGTATCATTGGGGAAACTTCAATGATGGTGGTCCCCCAAAATTATGGGAATTCCCCTCTTGGACAGTTGTCCCCATGAGTAGTAATGATACACATAGAGGGATGAATCCTCCCGATGGGGACACACAGCAATACAAACTTGACCTCTCACCAATCTATCCGAAGACTACAAAAAGAATGCCGGGCGCTGCGTCATTACACGGCACCCGGCTTCCGGATTGGCTAGCGTTCTGACCAATCGGGAAGCCGGGCAGCGTGTCATTACAAGTGACGAGAGAGCATGGAGCAGTTTCCCGGCCAATAAGGAAACCGGGCAGCGTGTAATGACGAGCTGCCTGGCTTCCTGATACAGGAAGTACTCGTGCTAGGTATCAGAGCATTTGGGCGAGTACGAGTACTCACCCAAATACTCGGTATCAGCACCGATACTAGTATCGGTATCGGTGCATCCCTAATTGTTTTAAAGCCAAGTGTGAACAAAATTACATGGAATACAGGAGCTAGCAGCCATATTTAAAGCAGAACTAAAATGTATTAGATGTTAAAAACTGTGCATACTTGGAAATCTGTGTTACCTCTTGCTTTATCCACATTTTATATTATCCATATGTCTGTTCATTAGCACTAGCGGAAGAAAGGCAGTGCTAGCATCTAAGGGATGGGACATAATCATTACCTCACAGGAAGTTGTTTGTAGAGACCAGGCATGTAATAGGGTACATCTGCCTCCATCCCCTTAAACAGACATTTGTTATTTTTTTTTTTTTAAATGCAGCTGTCAACAAGAGGAAAGAACACAGGGCAGTACTTGATGGGTCTACACTCTTCTGTGCAGCAATGGTCTCTTTCCCCAATGCAAATATAGGAGCATAATGACATACTTAGATGGAGGTGTGGAATGGCTATGGCCTGTGGGCTTTGCAGTCCGAAGAGGTGAAACCAAAATGTCATAGATAATCCTAGTTCCTGCTAGTATGTGTGCACAACAGCTGGGACACTTTCTGGATAAACCACAAGACACATGTTTTGCATTAAAAAAAATAACTTTAGTTTAACTTTAAGGTGTTAGGGGTTGTGAGATTCCAGAGACATCATTAGAAAAACGTTGACACTAGCTTTCATTTCTCCAGCTCTGGTCATGACCTTTACCTGTAAATATAGGTTAGTAGAGTTCGATCTACAGTAATTGTTAAAAAGAAAGATATTGCATACCATGTTCTAGGTTTTTACTGTGTGTCTTTCATACATATAACTCTAGTGTCTTTCACCGACAGCCAGTCCTTCTCGACACAGTATGTCAGAGTGGAGAATGCAGAGCATCGCCAGGGATTCAGATGAGAGCTCAGATGATGAGTTTTTCGATGCTCATGGTAATTACTCCAATATCCTTGTTTACCCAACACTGTAATTCTACATTTTATTGTAGTAAGGGGTTACAATTTGGTGGAAAATGTTTTAAGATCACACTGTATACGTTTTATGTTTTACATATCTATTCTTTCCCTGCCAAGAATGTAATAGGCATATCAAGGATGTGTCTGCCCTTGATAGTCATTGATACATGTACTTTGTCACACTTGTGGATTTTTTTTTTAGATTCGACAAACAAAAGCTGCTACATAGAAAGAATCCCTGAACTACTGAGCATGTTCTTGTCCTTCTATATAGAAAGACAGTCTGATTACTGAAGGAGACCCGTTACATTCTTCATTAACTGTAAACACAGTACTAGTTTACTCAAATACATAGATAATATTGAAGTAATAATTTTCCACCAGTGTTTACTGAATGGCTTTTTGTGCTACCAAACTTTAAAGTGTATCTGCTGCCAAAACCCACTCTAATCAAAACGTAACTATGTATACACTCACTGGCCGCTTTATTATGTACACCTTGCTAGTACTGGGTTGAACCCCTTTTTTCTTCAGAACTGCTTTAATTCTTCGTGGCATTGATTCAACAAGTTGATGACAACATTCCTTAAGCTGCCCGCGATCGTACGATAATCGTAAGGTGTATGGGCAGCGTGCGACCGCATTTACTGTATGGTCGCACGATTTTCGTATTACGAGCATTCTAGAAAACCCTGATGAAAATCGTACGATTTTTGGCGGATTGGTAGCGTGATCGCAAGACAAAAGCCTACGGGCCGAGGTGCGCAAGCGCACACTGCCTGCTCGCCATTGCAATCATCTGCAAGCCCTCCCCTCAGCAGGGAGGACTTGCGATGATCGCAAGTACGATCTGCCTGTCCATGATCACCTTACAACCATCGCACAACGAAAGTCGTGCGATTGTTGTAAGGTGTAAGGCCACCTTTAGAGAGTTTGATGATAGCATCACACAGTGCAGGTTTTTCGGCTGCACATCCATGATGCGAAGCTCCACCAGCCTGAACTGTTGGCACAAGGCAGGATGGCTCCATGCTTTCATGTTGACTACATCAAATTCTGACCCGACCATCTGAATGTCGCAACAGAAATCGAGACTCGTCAGACCAGGCAACGTTTTTCCAATCTTCTATTTCAAACCTTCCTTGCAATCTATAGCCTCAGTTTCCTGTTCTTAGCAGACAGAAGTGGCACTCATTGTGTTCTTCTGTGGCTGTAGCCCATCTGCCTCAAGGTTCACTGTGTTGTGTGTTCATAGATGCTCTTCTGCATACCTTGGATGTGACGAGTGGTTATTTGAGTTACTGTTGCCTTTCTTTCAGTTTGAACCAGTCTGGCCATTCTCCTCTGACCTCTGACATCAACAAGGTATTCTTGCCCCGAGAGCTGCCACTCACTGGATATTTTCTCTTTTTCAGACCATTCTCTGTAAACCCAAGGGATGGTTGTGTATGAAAATCCCAGTAGATCAGCAGTTGCTGAAATAATCAAACCAGCCCGTCTGGCACCAACAACCATGCCAGCTTCAAAGTCACTTAAATCACCTTTCTTCCCCATTTTGGTGCTTGTTTTGATCTTCAGCAGACCATCTTGACCATGTCTACATGTCTAAATGTATTGAGTTACTGCCACGTGATTGGCTGATTAGATCCCGTTCGTTTCTCCAGTCAGTGCTGGAGGAGCGGGGAGAGGGAGAATCCCTGCAGGGATCTGTGAGTGACAGTTACGTCTCTCTACAGGGACAGGATCAAGAAGTGATTGAGCGCCGGTATGTGTTCCCTCACTTCCTGATCTATAGAGCCGACCTGTGACAGTTTAATTGTCACACGTCAGCTCGAACTATGAGGCTGAGTGAAAATCACTCACCTCATAGTCCTCCTTTAAAGAGCAAGCTCACTTTCCCAAGTAATATGGGAAAATGGAATTACCCAATCAAATCTGGCCCGGCCTCTCCCAGAACCCCCTTCCCCCCTGGCTATACCCTCTTTTCGGTGAACAGTTCTTACCCTCCGCCTGTACAGTCCAGCCCTATGTATTTAGAATTTTGCCGGCAAATTGCAAGCACTCATTGGTCAGCGTGATCAGGTGACCACGCTGACCAATGAGAAGCACTATTTAGCACAGTCAAATACAGTTTTGATTAGGGATGCACCAATACAGAATATTTGGGCAAGTACTTGTACTCTCCCAAATGCTCCGATACCTTCCCCAATACTGGAACTTCTGGTCAGCTGAAGATTTCCTCTGACCGGCAGTGCCGTAGGGGAACATGGAGCCAGCTTCCCGTGCAATCCAGAAGCGGGGCAGCGACTAATGACCCACCCTGGTTTCCTGATTGGCTGGGAAGCCGGCTTCCCGGCCAATCAGGCCGTTATCCACCACCCGGTTTTCTGATTGGCTGGGAAGCCGGTTTCCTGGCCAATCATGATCAAGCCGGTCAAACAACATGGAGCAGGCTTCCCAGGCAAACAGAATCATTGCTCGTGCTCGATACCTATATGGATGCATCCCTAGTTTTGATTAAAACAATTTTTTTTGTATTGGGACAAGTAGATTGTCATGAGGGACAAGTAGATTCGGCCCCTGCTTTAGCCCTTGGACAAGTAGTTTTTTTTTTACATTTCCACACCCCTGGAGTAGTAATGGCAGTTACAGCATGCAAGGAATGATGAAATTGTTTTAGATAATATGTAAATGTGAGATAATTTTCCTTATCGAATGTAAGAGCTGCATTGCTTAATCTTGACTTTAACTAGGCCATTTATTGTGTAGATTTAATAATTATCACAGAGTTTGCACATAAAAAACCCTGTGTCCTCTATAGTACCCGACACCAACATCCCTTAAATTACACACATAGTTATTTTAAGGACATTTGTTTTTTTTTAGGTGACATCAATAAATTCACAATTTTCTAAAATAATCTCAGTTATTTACAAATATATGGAAGATATCTGCTGTAAATATGAGGAAACCTTTAGTCATTATTTTTCATGTAATGACGGTGATATTACTTGTTACATATATATATATATTTGTAAATAAATTTGATTATTTTAGGGAATTGTGAATATATATGATCTTTATTGATGACACCTAAAAAATTCCAAATGTCCTTAAAATAACTGTGACAGGGTCTGTTTAAATGGTAGGAAATCCGGGCTGGCAAATTATTTTCGGGGTATCAATCAGCAAAGTTAAAATGCTCTATTCATTAATTTTGAACACCCTCATAGTATATCTAATTCTATTATAAATTCTATGTTTATCTTCTCTTATTAATATGACTACCATTTTGCTAACTAAATGATCAATCCTACACAAACTTCTGTTTTGGATTTCAGTAGGGCACAATCATCAATGGTTGTGATATAAGGAACGCAGCAAGAGCGTGTCCCGATGGGGTTACCAGCTCCGTCTTTTTTTTTTTCTCTGCCATTCTGTGGCTGCAACAGGATTCTCGCATTTCCTGCTGAATTCTGCATAATGTAAAATGCATGACAAATTAAATCAGGGAATAAGCATTTGTAATGGTGGCAGCAGGCAGATGGATCTAGAACTTCAAGTGTTGAAGTCTCAGAGGTTTTGTGCAGCCCTATCATTATATAATTACATTTTTCTCTAACGGGGCTGGCGGTTTATAAGTGTATGTAAATAATTTTTTTTCTACTTTAGGTTAGAGTGGGAAAGGGTTAGAGCCTCAGTTTGTATTCCTGCCTGTGGCCTCACTGGGAAGCTTCACCCCTCTATTTGTCTTGGTGACCTTGTCTCAAAATAGAGTGAGGGAAATTCTAACATTTTGAGTTGCCTTCAGAGCTGGAGGTCAAGTAACATTCCCCCATGGAGACAATAGAGTGAGGGAAATTCTAACATTTTGAGTTGCCTTCAGAGCTGGAGGTCAAGTAACATTCCCCCATGGAGACAATAGAGTGAGGGAAATTCTAACATTTTGAGTTGCCTTCAGAGCAGGAGGTGAAGTAACATTCTCCCATGGAGACACCTGTTCCTGAAACAACAGTAGGATATGGGGATTCAGTTAATTTTGGAGGCATTTCCTCTTATTTCCTGTTGCATCTCCAGATTAGGATGTGAAGAGAAATATCCCCAGTAAGGCACAGACAGGAAAAAAACAACCCAACATATAGCGTTAAGAAGGGTTAAATAGGTAAGACTAAAACAAAAATTTGACTTCACATGCACTTTAACGGCTTCACACAGATGATATTATTATGTACTGTAATTATAATTGGAAAGTTCATGACATATTTCTGACCTCTATAGTGTCTTTTGTTATGCCGTTGTTCTCTTAACTTTCAGATGACTCCTATCACGAAACAGCAGAATATACTGCCAGTTCCGGTGTGGAGGGATTAAGCATAATGGAGGTATGTCATGTGATTTATATGTCTTTGTAACACAGGATCTTGATGACTTTTATCCATTGGCAGTGAATGCTGGACATTCCAGATAAAATATGTTATAACAAAATAAACTTCTTGTCTTTTGTTCTGTTACTGCCAAAGGAACAGGGCAAGCTATAGTATATGCATTAAGGTAGAAAACATCTGATGATACTTAAACATGCGAGGCAAAATTGTTTCACAACAAAAATATATCTAACCACCATGGGGGGAATTTATCAAAACTGGAGCAGACAATCTGGAGCATCAGCTTCTATCTTTCAGTTTCAAAGCTTAACTGAACAAACTGAAGATAGAAGCTGATTGATTACTATGGGTAACTGCTCCAGATTCTCTCTGCTCCAGTTTTCATAAATTCCCCCCTGTATCTTTGACAAGTCTGTACACCTAATGTTCAAGTCTCAAAGGGCTACCAACTGGATAAGTCATGGGCAGTAGCTGCATCCAGTACTCTGAGTGATCTCAGGCTACATAGATAATTAGAGGAAAGCATAGGAAATTAAAAAAACATCAGCAACTATAACATAAAAAGGGAGAAAAGCATAAAAGTAGATAGAAATAGAGAAGGTGAAGAGAGAGAAGAGTTGAAAAAAGGATAGGGAGGGACAGTATTTGTAACTGTTAGGAACATTCCCCCTTTTTTATATGCCCTGGTGACTATTGTCATTGGACAATATACCCCTGGTCTAAAAGATGATGTCCCTTTACGTAGGAATGATTTCCTCTCACATTCCAAGGCCGCAAAAAAAACCCAAAAAACACAGAGGTTTTAACTATGTACTTTTAACTACTCATTAAAAACAAAGAAAAAAAAAGGTTTGGGCATTAGGTGTACTTTAGGGGTATATTTATTAAGCAGTGGATGTGACTGTAATTGGTGATGAATAAATCTTTTAAACCACTTGCATCAGGAGGATTCACTTGCAGTGAATGTTTGGTGAATGTCAGATGTACTGCTTTATAAATCTCTAAATGCCTCTAAGTGTTAAAGGAGTACTCTAGGGCAATGTTTTTTGTTTTTTTCCCATAGTTCTCTTTTGGGTCAGGGGAGGACATATACTGTGTCCTCCCCTGACCCAAAACTCAGCATAAAGCGGGCAATATAGCATTTAGTGCCGCAGCCGAGATGGATTCCAACAATACTGTCAAGACCCACCCTGCTAGCTATGCCCGCCCCCTCCCCGTCTGTCCCTCTAGTAAGGGCTGGAGGATGGGGGGGAAGTGATCCCTGCCGTGTGGTGTGACTGACATTCACCACTCTCTGCAGGGATTAGTGATGGGCTCGGGCGTGTTCGCAGCTCCACGTGCCGAGCCCACCAGGAAGCTGACAGCGCATCAGCGCCAATCACAGGTACTGAGACATTTCCGCAGCTGCGGACCGGGAAAATGTCTCAGTACCTGTGATTGGCGCTGCTGCGCTGTCAGCGTCTTGGTGGGCTCGGCACGTGGAGCTGCGAACACGCCCAAGCCCATTACTAGCAGGGATATAATCGGGAAATGTTTTTGCTCACTTCGCGATCGATAGAGCCAATGTGTGACAGTTTCAATGTTACAATTCGGCTCTAACTATGGGGATGAGTGTAATTCACTCACCCCATAGTCCTCCTTTAAGGGAAGTTAAGAGTTCACATTAAGGATTACAGGGTTAGGGTTAGGTGCTGCGTATGTAGGGGGGCACTTTTTTCCGCTTGTTCAGGGTCAAAATGCCTTCACTAAGGACAACTGGTGGCAAGTTATTCCTTCCAAAAACCAATGTACTGTAAAATAATTTCCTGAAAATAGTAGTGAGTTTTTGTAATAATTGTGATGTATTATGCATGGTTCTGGTCTTTACATATCAAGTGACAATACATAATAAAATGCTGACACCAGACACTAATTAAAAACTCAATCTGGTCATAAATGGTCTTTTCCCAGCCCATGATGGGAAACTCTGAGTGGCCCTGTAGGACATCCTAGTGGGTAGTAATAAGCCCTTATGACCGTTGCAATAGCATGTTTGTCTCAGCACAAGCAGGACCCTCCTGTGTGCTCTTCATGTAGGGAAGAGAAGGAAGTGGGTAACTGCACATGAGCTGCTAGGCCATTTTGGCTGGCTCATGCAGGTGGTCTAGGTGTGTTCAAAGACTGGCACAATTTTCACTTTTCACATCTGTAATTTTCAGTGAGTTATTTGCCTACCCTAGAGCCCTGCTGTAGCTTTTATTTGTTAATGTGTAATAGTGGAGGGAAATGCTGATATAGGTGCTAGATCCAAGGACAAGTAGTCAAGCAATAGATGTAACAAGTAGACCAAGGGACAACGATCCTCCCAACCAACAGTTTTTACTTGAGTGGTTTTAAATAGTTACAGTATTTTACTGAGCTACCAGAGGTACACAATAGCACTATGTTTGTATATAGAAAGGATCAGAATTAGGTATAAGAAAATACCAGTTTATTTTTATCTGTTTAAAATCATAATTTGTCAAGGTTAATAGAGGTACATAGAGAGAGAAGTATGTTTTCTCACGATGCTGGGTAATTACTACCCAGAACCATACTTGGCTTTATAAAAGCACAATAGAAATTCAGTTGACTTCCTGGGAATACAGAAAACGTATTGTTTATGCTCCCAAATCATTTATCTGAATCAATAGTGCTTTTCATGAATTCTAGTGGAATCCAGTTCCTTTCGGCTGGACAAACAGGTTTATCACTGCTTCCTGCCCCCTAAGCCAAGTATCTTGTACTACCCCACTTCTATCACAAACCACTGGTTAACTTTGGTATGACCTTAACATGATTAGATGGCCATAGCTACAAAAGGCCTACCAAGTTGGAGGGGGGTCCACCAATTTGCTTTTTTTAGGTTTGGATAGAGTAAAGAAAGGGTTAAAAACTTTAAGGATTTGGTAGCTGCTTCTGTCACCATTGGGGAATTGTAACCACTTCCTAGAAAAAAGAAAAGGCTAGTTGCACTCCTTACCGGTATGACCCCGTGACCACTTCCTGTCGCAGTGGAGTATTGGAAATAGGAAGTCAACTCATTTCTCCACAGTCACAGATATAAAAAATAAAACTGGTAGGGGTTTTTAGCGCTGTACCCAAAAATGCTGTCTGTTTTCATGTCCCCTTACTTCCTGTCCCAAGCACTACCAGATTCTGGCAAGAAGTGTGGTAGAAATTTCTTCAACAGAAGTGGTTATATATCCATTGCACACCATACTAATGTCCCCCTTGTTAAACCGGTTGCTGGAACAACTGGTGGGTGGCGCCACATCAAACTAATAAAAGATATGCTGTCAGCACACATTAGGCTTCACAATCTCGCCTTTATTGACATTCTTACCAATGTCAATGAAGTCATGAAGTGTCCCGACACTTTGTGTGACAAAGGGACCCTGCGTGGTTTCCGAAACATTGCAATATTTCTTTATGCTGCAATAATGTTAATAAAGACACCGTTCTAAAGCCTAAGGTGTGCGGACAACATATCTTTCATTATTATTGCTCCAACAGAGACACAGTTAACAAGAAAAACCTGACAAGTTCTAACCCTTTCCCAGTCTTTTGGGTAGTCTTTTAATTTAAGTGTCCAATAATGTGGTTCATCACCCTCCTGAGTATAGTTATAGGCACACCTAGATCTTAATTATGTGAAATAACTACTATTTTTAAGTTTTATTATAAAAAACAATCTAGCTTATCCATTTGTTGTTGACTGTGCTGAAGATTGGTGGTGTTCAGTTAATATCACAATTCATCTGCAGCGAACATGTTTAAAAAATATATATTTACACATATATATATATTTACATATAGTGAATACTCTTACATTATTTTTATAGCATGTATGTTTTCATATATACGTGGGTGCATTGGCAGCCTTTAGGTCTTTTGCCTCAGGCCCCACAATGTTTAGGCCCATCCCTGCTATTTACTGCTTTAACTCTTGTCAGTATTCATCTCCGGAATTTATAATGCAATATTGATAAAGCCGCAGAGACATCCATCATCAATGTCCCAGTAGCGTGACTTCACAGAGAATTAATTCCTCCTTTCACAGGAAAGGCAGCATATTTTGCATTCATCTGATGTCTCTTACCCTCCTTTTTCTGTTTAATACTTCACTTGCCTGAGGAAACTGAGCAGAGAACATTTGCTGATTTGACTTGTTTGCAGATTTGTGCACTGAATGTAGGTTTTGCTGGGTAACATGCAAGCTGTGTCATCACTACTAAGAGGTGCTGAAAGAAACTCTCACATATATCACGTGCTGTGAACTCACAATTCACTCCCGAGTTTTAATTTATTTTCTGGCTGGGGCGGGGGGGAGGGTGTTTAAATGTCATCTTCAGCAGCCAGGCTCAAGTTTTTCCTCCGATTTACCGGGTGTCAAACAGCACAGGAAGTGAGGATTCCTTTTTTTAATAGGTTGGTAAAACCTCTGCCAGGTCTACTGTCACACCTTTGGAGATATTTCCAATCACTTCCTGTCCGGGTGATAGGTGTCAGAACAGGAAGTAAGAAATCATTTTGACACAGAAGCAGCTTTTTAAAACCTGACAGAGGGTCTAATCCTTCTTTTTTCTATCAGAAACTGAAATTGGGCGTTTGAAACTCTGAATGCTTCTTGTTGGGAACACGTCTCATTTATTTCTAAGAATTTGTGTAGATGGCCTTTGTTTGCAAATGCAGCACTGATCTAAGGCATTATGCAGAAAAAAGATTATCTTGACCTATTTTGCCAGCAATGCAAACATTGCTGCATCCAAAAAAACAAGCAAAGCGGCTCCAGGGGCTTGTTCACACCATGTCCGGACCATGTCCAGACCAGAACAGTTTGTTACCAGACCAAAAAAGCATCCTAATCTATCCCGTTCCGGTCTAGACAAAAAAGATCCAGCTTGTCTCATTTTCTCTTGTACAGAACACATGTAATCATATCAGAAATGCATGCAAAAGCAGTGGAACGCACCAGA